GGGGGGGGGGGGCAGGATGGTTTCCCGCGGGTCAGCATCAGTCCCGAGGCGCCACCGGCTCCGGGAATGGGGCGTATCGCGAGGAGAAGGGGAGAAGGCAGGAAAGCACGAGGCAACGCACTCGCGCGACTCCAGGCGGAACCAGGACAGCACATCGGCCTCCTGCACGCCCGCATGGTACAAGGGCATGCCCGAGCCCGACATGGCCCCGGGGTCCTGATCGCGAGACGAGCCATCCAGCAGCATCAGCCGGATGAGGACCACCTGCGCCAGAGAGGGAAGTGCATGTAGGATCGCCAGGCAGGGAGCTGGCTGGGAGTAAAGCGCTCCGAAGGGCAGATCGTCGGCTGCTTGTCCGGCCTCCGGCGAGGCCGGGTCGGACAGGGAATCGCTGATCAACTTCAAGGGGCTGGCGTCGGGAATGGACGACCCGGTGTTGGAGGCGCTCCTGGCTGCCGAGCGCCGGAGCTGCGACACGACCCCCTCGGCCGCGGAGGCCGCCCGGCTGCAGGCAACCGAGGCGATCCCCGCGATCAGATGCGCCTCGCGACGGCCGATGTCATCGGTGGTGGCGGTGGCAATGAACCGGTGAACATCGTTGGCGGTGCCTTGCGCGGCTGCGGCCGCGGCGACGGCCGAAGGCTCCAGCGTTTCCAGATAGGCAAAGAGATTGTTCGGAGCCTCGCTGTTGAGGACCAGCGGGGGGGCCGCCCCGGGACCAGCCCCGAGGACCAGCCCTCCGCTGCCGCTTTGCTGCTGGGGAGGTGCCACGCCCTGCGACTGGGAACCCGTCGACCGGGGGTCGTCAGACATCATGCTCGAGGTGGCCGCGTGAGAATGGTGGTGAAGAGAGCTTCCGGCCGTGTGGTCCATGCCGATGACGTGGGTTGTCATCGGGCGACTGCGCGTGTGGATAGGCAGAAGGGGGAGGGGGGAAGGGCGGAGGGGGAGAAGGGCAGAAAGAGGGAGGTGGACAAATGCGTGTGCCTAGGAGGGCCAGGGGGGAGGGGGGGGGGGGGGGGAGGAGGGGAGTCGGTGAGGCAGTAGGGGCCAATATGGCCAAGACTCGCGGACCGCCCCAGCGCCCATGCTCTTCGGGCTTTTCCCCGGGGAGAAAGCCCCCAACAGGGCTAGTTCGGACCACCCTGAGTGCCGGTCCGAGGGGCACATCGGCACAGTAAGGGGCCGCGCAAGCGCGGACGCGGCGGGCGGTCGGGAAGATCTCCTGTTCGTGGGCACCAGGTCTTACTTGATCGGTGGCAGGTGGGCCCGGGGGTTCCGATCACATGCGGCCATTCAAAATGCATTCTGGAGTCGTGCCCCTTCTTGCCGGGGCTTCGATGCGGGCAGGCGGGCGCGCGCGCGCGCGCGCGCGCGTGAGCGAGTTTGAATACCGGGGGGAGGGGGCGGTCGCTTGCCGGGGGTGCGGCCTGGCCGAGCCCGGGGGCCGCGGTGGCTCCCCCCTTTGCGGAGGTGGCTGTTGTGCTGCCGCTGCGGTCCCCGGCCCCCCCCCCCCCCCCCCCCCCCCCTCGAGGGGTCGGGAGGGGGCGGAGTGGGGAACACGAGGGGAGGGAATGTGCGTCTTCTAATTCCTGCTGGGAGAGCCGGCACGGGTAGGCCGCCGGCGGGCCGTTGGGGAACGGCTTGAATCCCTCCAGGCCCCAGTGGCTACAGCAGCAGTCTCAACAGCAGCGGCGCCAGCGACAACAACAACAACAACAACAACAACAAGGACTGCGGCAAGCCCCTTTCCCCCTGCAGGCCCGGGCCTCCATCCTGCCCCCGGCCCCTTGGGGCTGCTTCAAGCGCGGCTCGTTGACGCCCTCGTTCCGGACCTCACCCGCCTCAGGGGTATGTGCATTGTTTTCTCCGACAATGCAATCTTGCCCCCCGGACCCTGTTCCCCGCCCGCCTTGAGCCGGGCGATCACGCTCGAACACATACACACACACACACACACACCTGCCCACACAACCAGGAGACCCATTTTTCCGGGACCGGCCCCGAGCCGGTCGGCTGACCGCTCGGCACCCCGCCCCCAATTGACTTGGACTCCTCCGTATGCCCCTCCTCCGGCCTCCCTCCCCACTCCTTCCCCCTTTCTCCCTTTCTCTTTCCTTCTCTTCCCTTCCCTTCTCTGCCCTTCCCTTCTCTTCCGTTTCCCCCCTTCGGCCTATCTATGCCGCCTCGCTCTAACACATATCTGGCCTGCACCCTCCTCCCTCCCTGCACCTCTCTTCCAGCTCGAGCCTGGTCACTTTTCGGCAAACTTTCCCCCCCCCCCCCGCCGCCCCATCCAAACACCAACCCATCATGTGGCGCCAGGCTTCCAAGTACCGCCATGCGGTTCCCACTCCCGGCAAGCCCGAGGTGCGTCGCCCGGTCCCCTTTCCCGTGCTCTCGGTCCCATCCTCCCTCCCTTCACAAGCCCATGTGCTCACTCCTCTCCCTCCCTCGCGCTACCGCCGCCCCCCTCCCCCCTCCCCCCCTTCCTCCACCCCCCGTGCACGCAGGCTTCCTTCACCGACCTCACGCTGAGCGATCTGTCCGGTTCTGGTGTCGGCATTTCCGAGGCGTCTCATGGTATTGCCGCCAGCACGGCATGGATCGCGCTGCCGGTTGGTTCGCGCGGGGATTCCTTCGGGGTCCTGCCGTTGGATCGCCCCGGCCGGGCGGCCGATGTCATGGTCACCCTGCCGAGCGCGCACGGTGGCCAGGCTCTGACCGATTTGGCTTTCTCCCCCTTCGATTCGAACGAGCTGTGCACCAGTGCCGCCGACGGCACCGTGCGCCTGTGGCGCGTGACTGACAACGGCCCGGATGCCCCCTCGGTCGGTCTCGTCACCGAGCTGCTTGGTGCTTGTGGCGGGTCCGGCAAGCCGGTCGAGGTGGTTCGGTACAACCCCACCGCCAAGGGGATCCTGGCCGCGGCCGGTGGCTTTGGCTCGGTGGCCATCTTCGACGTGTCGACCGCCGATGGGGCCGGCGTCTTTGCCCCCTCCATGCGCCTGGCTCACAAGGATGCCACCTCGGTGAATGCCCTCTCTTGGGACTATGCTGGCTCGCGCCTGGCCACCACGTCGACTGGCACCGGCACCGGCGGCCAGCTGAACGTCATTGACCCGCGCACCGCCGGCAGCTTCGAGGTGCGCCAGGGCCCGCCCTCCGGCCTTTGGGCGGATCTCTGCCTCCTGCCTCCCCTGCTGCTTTGACTTCCCTCCCTGCTGCTTTGCCTTCCTCCCCTGCCTTCTCCTCCCCCCTCCCCTCCCCCCCCCAGCCCCGAGACACACACACACACACACACACATGCATGTATACGGCCTCCCTGACACCACATGCATCCCCGCACGCGAGCATAGTCCACCAACTGCCACATGGGCCCCGGCAAGCAGATGGTCGAATGGCTGGGCACGCACATTGCCGGTGGCCATGGCCTTCTGACCACCGGTCGCGGTCGCCAGCGCGAGTCTGAGATCGCCCTTTGGGACGCGCGCTCCCTCGGCGGTCCGCTCACTCGGCAGGTTCTGGATTCCTCCGGTGGCCGTGGTGCGGTTTTGCCCCTGTTCGATCCCGACACCGGGATGCTCCTGCTGGCCGGCAAGGGCGATCAGATGACCCGCTGGTATGAGCTGGTCGATCGCCAGAATGATTGGTTCTCGTGGGCCGGCGCGCCGTCCCTGGCGCAGGAGCCCCAGCGGTCGGCCACCCTGGTGCCGAAGGCCGCCATGAATGTCATGACTGGCGAGGTGGTTCGCATGCTGCGCGTCACCTCCAAGGGCATGTCCCATGGTGCGATTGTGCCGCTTTCCTTCACCGTCCCGCGCAAGTCCTACGCCGACTTCCATGAGGACATCTTCCCGGAGACTCGCGGTCAGACCCCCGGCGGGTCTGCGGCGCAGTGGCTGGCCGGTGCCGACACCTCGGCCGTCCCACTGGTGTCCCTGGACCCGGCCCGTCGTGCTCAGGCGGCCCCCACCTCTGACGGCACGGTCGCCGCCGCCGACGCCGCCGAGGCTACGGCCCCTACTTCGCCGGCGTCGGCTGGCGCTGCCGGCCCTGCTGCTGTCTCCACCTCTCAGGAGGTGGCCCCGGCTCAGGAGGAGGCCGAGGAGGAGGCCGAGGCCTGCTATTCGCCGACGGCTGCCGCCGCGGCCGCCGCGGTGCGTTTCTCCCGGCCCGCCGGCCTGCGCTTCACCGCCGGGCGTGTGATGACCGAGGCCTCCGTCGCCACGTACACCCACATGCGCGATGTGGCCATCCGCTTGACCGGCGAGACGGACGCCCTCTTCAGCTCGGAGGACTTCCTGGCCTTCCCGCTCTCGCGGCCCGGTGGCCAGGTGGCCGTCCTGCCGACCCAGGCCAATGGCGCGATCAACGGCCGCCAGGCCGAGGTCCTTTCGTCGCTGCTGAACAAGGCTGACGTCCTGGACATGGCCTTCGACCCGGCCTCGCCGTCGACCCTGGTGTGCGGTGCGTGCACTCTCTTTCCCGCCCGCCCGCCCGCCCGCCCGCCCGCCCGCCCGCCCCCTCTCCCCTCTGCTGCTCGTCTTGCCCTTCTTCACTCATCTCCCCCATCGGCGGCTGACCTGTCGTCATGTGCCACCTGTTGCCCTTCATTTGTTGCAGCCTGCGAGGATGCCACCATCCGTGTCTGGCACATCCCGACCGGCGGTCTGCCGTCTCCTGCTGAGGCGGAGAAGATTGAGCCCGCCTTCATCCTGCGCGGCCACCACCATCGCGTGAGCTTGGTCCGCTTCAGCGACAGCGTGCGTGGCCTGCTGGCCTCGGCCAGCCCCGAGGGCGACGGCTCGCCCTCGGTCCGTCTCTGGGACGTGGTGACCGGCACTCCGGTGACCGGGCCCAATGGCAAGCCGCTGATCATCACCGGCTTCAAGGATGCCATTTTCGATGTGGCCTTCAGCTCGGATGGCCTGCGTCTGGCGGTCACCTCGCGCGACAAGGTTCTGCGCGTGTTCGACGCTCGCACGGGTGCCCTGCTCAATGAGGGCCCTCTCTTCGATGGGGTTCGCGGCTCGCGCGTCTTCTGGCTGCGTGACACTGGCTACCTGGTGGCCATTGGTTCGGACCGGTCCGTGTGATGTCCTCTCCTCCGCCGCGCCGCCGCGCCCCCTGCCATGTGCTTCCGCCCTCGCCCGTCGGCTAACCCCCTTCATCATCGCCACCGCCGCCGCCGCCGCCGCCGCCACCGCTACCACCACCACCACCAACAACAACAACAACAACAACAACAACAACAACAACGCATGCGCATTTGCGGGCCTGCTCACGCGTCTCGGCTCCGGGCGCTTCACAGTGCCAGCAACCGCCAGCTGCGTGTCTATGACTCGGCCAACCTGTCCAAGCATGTGGCCAGCCAGACACTCGACTGCTCCCCCTCGGTGCTTGTCCCGCATCTGGACCAGGACACCGGATGCCTGTTCCTGGCCAGCCGCGGTGATGCGGCCATTCACATTCTGGAGGTCCTGCCGACGGCGCCGTTCGTCCAGTACCACAGCCGCTTCGATGTGCCGGACGCCGCGCCGCTCAATGGGTTCTCCTTCCATCGGAAGGCGGCGTGCCGCGTGCGCGATCTCGAAATCGCCCGGTGCTATCGCCTGGCTCGGCCGGTCACTTCCCTGGCGCAGACCCACCAATTTGCCGTGATTGATCAGCTGTCCTTCACCGTGCCGCGCAGCCGGCCGGAGTTCTTCCAGGACGACCTGTTCCCGGCCACTCGCGATCGGAGCAAGCCCATCTGGTCGAGCATCGGCGCCTGGCTGGCACACCGTGGCCCGGCTCCGGCTCCGGCCGTGGTGGACCTCTGCCCGGCTGGCATGGTCCGGCTGAGTGTCGCCCCGCCGGTGGTCCAGGCCAAGCCGAAGTACTTCAGTCGCGCCGTGGCCCAGGAGAGCGAGACCGAGCGCAGTGGCCGGGTGCTGAACGACATGTTCGCCAACATCCGTGCGGCTCTGGAGGATGACCCGACCAAGCTGTCGGCCGCCTCGCAGGGCGCTCGTCAGGAGGACACCAATGTCGTGTCCGACAGCGAGTGGGACGACTGATCGCGCCAGGCCACTGGCCGGTCGGCCGGCATGGTGGGGGGGGGGGGGGGGGGTGGGAGGCATCATGGCGCACTGTGCTGGCCAAGGGATGACCGGGGAGTGTCCACTGTCCTCTCACTCGCTCGCTCGCTGTTTGTCCCCTTCGTCTGCCTCCTGCTGCCACCTCGCAACATATTTCTCCCTGGCAATTGGATGCTGTCGAAAAGAATGAAAGGAACATACTGCGAGGTCGGCCGCGCCCTGTCCGTGCGATGTTGTGCCCCCCTGTGGTGGGTGCACCCTCTGCTGGGGAGATTCCACCTCCCGGGTTCCCATGCTGCGCTCCCCCCCCCCTCCCCCCTTCCATGAGCAGCCCTGTGTCGCCCCCTACCCCGGAATACGACGCATGTGTCCTTCCTCTTGTTCTGTCTGGGCGCCTTCACCTTCGGGAGACAGAGGGGGAGAGAGAGTGAGGCTGGGGCAATCGACGGGAAGGGGTGGGCAAGTGCACAGGGAGACAATGCCCGGCAGGGGAACAGTCTTCAACCTTTGGTCGGGGTCGCTCCCGACAGAAGCAGAGGGAGAGAGAGAGAGAGGGCGAGAGCGAGATCCGGAAGGTGATGCCGTGAGGCGGGGCGAAGGGCGCGCAGGGGCCGGAAGGCGTCCTGCTAAGAAAAATGGGCCGGCCTCTTGCGCAAAAAAACAAAGGCGCCCCGGCTGGTCAGGGCGCGCTTTCAATTGCCAACGGATGCGTCAGATCGGAGGTTGTGGGGTAATCCTGGGAAGGGGCTCTCTTTTGCGCCGCAGAAGCCTGCTCGCCGCTGTCCCGGGGGCGCAGAGGGTTCCTTGACTGGGGATGGCGAGCCGGGGGTGGGGGAGGGGGGATCCACAATGTGGGGCGTTCCGCATGACCGGGTGGCCCCGCGTCAGCCAAACGCTCTTCCCTTTCTCGCAAGCACGGTCTCGGGCCCATGGGCCCAGTTGCGGCGGGTCCAATCGCCTACGAGGGGTGGATGGCCTGAGGGCAAGAGCGCGGGGGGGGGGCTGCCCCAAGCACGGGCAGTGGCAGACAATATTCTCGATGGTCGGGGCGGGCGCACCCCTGGCGCCTTTCCATCTGCTCCTCCTTCCCCCATCCTCCCCATACGCACACACACACGCACACACACACACACACACACACACACACTCACACTCACACACGCATATACCCCACACCCCACTCCCTCCCGCGGTCTATTTACATACGTGGTCCGAGGATCCGGGTGTGTCATTATTAGCCGCATGTGGGGAGGCATGCATGCCGACTCCGCCCCAGGCACCGGCTTTCCCCCCTGGTACTTCTGTGCAGCAGGCATGTCCCCCGCTCCGGGCGTACCATTCTGCCAGGCCTCATGCCCCCGGCGGCTGACGGCCGACCTGGAGTTTGGCGCGCATACGGGCCGCTTTCTCGCTGGAGTGCGACACCCGCACGGAAGCAGGAGTGCCCTGGCCGCACGAAAGCAGGCCATAAAGAGAGGGCAACAGTGCCTGTGAACCCGGTGTCCATTTGCCCGGTGCGCCGAGTACCACAAGTGGTTGGAGCTTTGTTTACACAATAGAGGCCGACGAGTGCCGGGTCCCCGCGGGACAGGCCGTCGCCGCCCGGGCGAACCCTGCTTCAGGGGCCCGGCTCCGCATTCTGTCCCACTGTCCCGGGTCGGGCCCGGGGACGCGTCGTCCTCGGGCGCCGTTTGTCTTGTGCACACGGCCTCCGTCTTTCTCACCTAGGCACCCGCTCTTGCTCGTGTATGTGTTTGGGGGGGGGAGGGAAGAGTGCAGGGGCTGTCGCCCGGTCTTCCAGAGCACAAGTGGCCCAAGAAGCATGGCCATGCATTGTGCCACACAAACAAGACAGTGCATGGGGAAGCCAAGAAAGCGAGAGCCAGCGGGGGAGACCATGCCCTTGTCACGCGCCATTAACCTACCCCGGCGGGGAGCTTGTCTGAGCGGGGGGCCGGGCGGGGAGGGGGGGGGGGCCGACACCGAGGCGCGTACACAACCCCCCTCGCCCTTCGTCCCTCGCCCCTCATTGCCTCGTCCGCCCTCAAGCTCGGCGTAGAACGCGCATAAATCCTTTTCGGCCTCGGGCCATGGGCTAGCCACGCCCCTGGCACCGGGGCCCCGCAGGTGTCCTGAGCCAACGGCAGGTTTTAGTGTCGACCTCTCGCACGCGATCGAGCATGCGTGCGCGAACGCACGCGCACTCTCATACAGGCACCGGGGACCCCCCCCCCCCCCCCCCCCCACACACACACACGTCCACACATGCACCTACATAGGAGGCAATGTGCACGCAAGCATCTTCTCCGGTCCCTCCTCGGCCCCCCTGCCACCCCCATTCGACGACAAGAGCTTCGCTGCAGATCCGGGATCGTACTGCTTCATTAACACCTGCTGGGGTATTTTTCTTGGAAGACCCGCATGTGTCCTCAGAGCCCCGCGGCTTCGGGAATGCCCTTGGACGGGGTTGAGGCCTTCCGCTCGGGCTCGGTGAGGCGACGGGGGCAGGACGCCGGGCGCCTGCCGGCCAGCACACTTGTGGCCGACCGGCCTCTCGGCGGCTCTCTCATCGCCAACAGCCGCAGGGTTGTTTCTCCTTCACTCCGGCCCATCCACATGAAAGGATCCCATGGCAGGGAGGTCCGTTCGCTGGTGCACTTTCTGCGCCAGCCCCGACGGTCGGGGGCTGTGAGCTTCCGAGACGAGGCTTACCAAGGTCTTTCCGCCCTTTCCCGCGCCATGCCCAGAAGGGCAGTGCGAGGCGGCGCGCGCAGGAAAGACCACAATCGAGGGAGGGAGACGGAGGCCGAGGCAAAAGACCACAAGGGAGCATGAAGCGAAGGAGAGGGGGGGGGGGGGGAGGGTGGGCCGCCGAGCGGCCATGACCCCCTACCAAGGCACAAGGGGGTGGGCTTGCTGGAATGCCGGGGCCCGGCGATAGTGTGCTGGGCGGTGCGTGTGAGGAAAGTTGAATACAGGTTTGACCAGGGGGAGCCGGGTGGGTGCACACGCGATCCGAGCGAGTGGGGCCTGCCCCCCGGATGGGTCGACTGCGCGGCCAGTGTGTGAGTGCGAGCGGCCAAAAACGCCCGTCCGGCAAAGCGCCCGCCGGAAGCCGGAGGCCTGTTGGTCCGAGCAAAATGGCCACGCACAAGACACCCATCGTGCAGGCCCGTTTATACAGCCACACCCGCGGCCGGGCATCATGACCCCGGCGATTCGCCGCGCCCGCCTGCCTGCCTGCCTCCCTCGCCGCCTCTCGCACTTTCCACCCGACTGGAGCGGGGAGCGGTGGTCAACAAGCTTGACCTGCGGGCTGTAGCGTCTGAATTGTCGCCGGTCCCAGTCCTGCCCCTGCCCCTGCCCCTGCCCCCCCCCCCC